CCCCTTTCCCCATTTTTCTATTAGCAAGGCTAAGAACTTCTTCAGAACTGGGAGCTGAGTACCCTTGCCAGTTACACCAGGAACTATGTTAAACCCTTCACTCACATGAATGCATTTAATCTTCCCAATAACCCTTTAAGGCAGATCTTTTTATTGCTCTCATTTTGCAGATAAGGAAACTGAAGAAAATCAAAGGGATTAACCAGTTCCATTCTGGTTTGTCAGCAGGCAAGTGGTAAAGATGGATTCAAGCCCAGAGCAAACAATCTTAATTAGTCCCAAAGCCTCATGCAACTTTCCATTTTGGTTTAAAATTTTCATGAGAGAGTAGTTATGTGTACATACAAAAGCAAATACTACTGTGAGTTTCTTTATACAGATATAAATTTAAAGATAATTCTGAAATCAAATATTGCATCTTGTTTGTGGCCTTGGTTTGTTTCTTGGCCAGCCAAATTACTTTTTATACTAACAGCCACGCTTGATATTCTGTCTCTCTTCATTCTTTTCTCTGAAAACGTTAATTCTTAGAAGAAATAATTTTGAACTTGGCAGTGTGGACCTGGGAGGAAAGGGAGCCAGATGGGAAGGAAGGAGAAAGGGGAGGGTCAGCAAGATGTTTAAGAAGCTGTGTTCTGGAAGCCCTCTCTTGAATAAAGCTGCAGATTGAACATCTCTTATCCAAAATGCTCAGAACTTTGAAGTGTTTCAAGTTTTAGATTATTTTTGGATTTTGGAATATTTGCATTATTATCAGTTGAACATCCCTAGCAGAAAAATCCAAAGTGATTCAATGAGCATTTCTTTTGTGGCTCATGTTGGCACTCAAAAAGTGTCACATTTTGGAGCATTTTGGATTTTCAAATTAGAGATACTCAACCTGTACTTAGTCCCCAGTGAAGCTACTAAAGGTTTTTTAATCTCATGAAATGCTTGGTATAAGAGTCCAAGCCTCATATCAAGTCACCACAAGGTAAAACAGACACCAGCAGGAGAGGATGTGGGAGCACAGAGAGACACAAGAAAGCTCAGGAACCTAGCAGAAGTCCAAAGCAGAGCTTTGGGCTATTTGGGGAATCTGTGGCCAAACCCACTTCAATCAGATCTGTAAGCAGGCAGTGGGTCCTTGGCTAAGAGTGAGGTTATATATTCATGTAATGAAATTTAAATCGTCTCCTAGTAAAATGTCTAGAATCAAAATGACTGATACACTATGTGTTGCCAAAGATGTGATGTAAGGGGAACTCCAACACACTGCTGATGAGAATGAAATATGGTACAGGTACTTCAGAAGAGTTTGAAAGTTTCTCATGAAATTCAACAAATGCCTACCACATGACTTAGGAATTACCCTCCTATGAGTTTACCCAAAAGATGTAAAAGCATAAGTCCACACAAAGATCTGTATGTAAACACCGACAACAGCTTTTTTCCATAATAGACACAAACTGGAAATAACTCAAATGTTTACCAACCGATGAGTGTATAAACTAATTGTGGTGTATCCATACCACGGAATAAGTCACTCTGCAATAAAAAGGTACAAACTACCTTTACATCCAACAGTAGGGCTGAATCACACACTAATTAGGCTAAGTGAAAGAACGTAGATACAAAAGACCACATACTGTATGATTCCATTTAAATGACATTCTAGAAAAAGCAAAACAGTAGTGACAAAAAGCAGATCAATGCTGGTCAGGATCTGGGGGTAAGGGAGGAGGAGGAGGACGAGATCAACTGCAAGGGGTGCACAGGAATATTTGAGGCAACAGAGTGTTCTCCACATTGATTGCAGTGGTGGTTACATGATCAAATACACATTTCTCAAAATTCATCAAATTGAACACTTAAGCTGGGTAAATTATACTGTATGTGTATTAGTCTGTACTCACACTGCTATGAAGAAATACCTGAGACTGGGTAATTGATAAAGGAAAGAAAGAGGTTTAATTGACACACAGTTTCTCATTGCTGGGGAGGCCCGAGGAAACTTACAATCATGGCAGAAGGTAAAGGAGAAGCAAACACCTTCACATGGTGTGAATATAAGTAGGGGAAATGCCAGATGCTTATAAAATCATCAGATCTGGTGAGACTCACTCACTATCATGAACTATCATGCAGTTGCCCACATGATCCAGTTACCTCCACTTGGTCCCCACCTTGATATGCGGGGATTATGGAGATTATAATTCAAGGTGATATTTTGGGCGGGGACACAGCCAAATCATATCACTACGTAAATTGTATCTCAATATAGCTGTGGGGTTTTTTAAAGCAATTTTTAATTTAATTTAAATCATCCTCAATAGCAGTCATAATACGGAATAATGTATATCCTGAGGATACTTTCTGATAGAAGGGGCCATCCTACTCACTTCTTCCTAGTGACTCCGTTGCATTTTCATCAGTTTCCCCAATCCTGACTGTTGGACAAATTTTTCATGCTATATAGAAAGAGAAGCTTAATCAGGGCATGATTCAGGCTGAATCCCTTTGCCAGTATAAACTTGTTTTGGGGGCCACGATTTATTTATTTATTTATTTTGAATTTATTTATTTATTTTAGGTGGAGTTTCGCTCTTGTTACCCAGGCTGGAGTGCAATGGCATGATCTCGGCTCACCGCAACCTCTGCCTCCTGGGTTCAGGCAATTCTCCCGCCTCAGCCTCCGAAGTAGCTGGGATTACAGGCACGCGCCACCGTGCCCAGCTAATTTTTTGTATCTTTAGTAGAGACGGGGTTTCACCATTTTGACCAGGATGGTCTCCATCTCTTGACCTCGTGATCCACCCGCCTCGGCCTCCCAAAGTGCTGGGGCCACAGGCTTGAGCCACCGCGCCCGGCCTGAGGGCCACGATTTTAAAGTATACTTAATAACTAAAAGCTGAACATTGTCATCCTAAGTGCACTGAACATTGTCTTAAGTGCACAGAATCATAGTTTATGGGTTATAACTAGGCCTGCCAGATAAAATGTGAGTTGAATTTGAGTTCAGATAAACAACAAATAATTTCTTAGTTTAATGATGTCCCAAATTATGCATGGGACAATTTTTTTTAAATTTGATATACCTAACAACTATATTAATAACACTATAATAATCAGTCCATGTATGGCCTTTTTAATTTTATTTACTCATTCACATACTTAGTAAATTAAACTTATTTATTAATCTCATGTCATTGCTGCAGGGATTTTTAGTTACTATTGCTGGAACTCCCCCTTTTTAAGAAACCATGTGGCAACTCTAAGGCACTGAGAATGACTACTGAGAAGTAACTGACTTAGGCCCATGTAAATTAAATTGGGATTAGCAGATTCAGGTCATCAACTTGGTACTTGTTAGAAAAGAATCTCAGGTTCTACCCAGACCTACTGAATTCAGAATCTGCAATTTAGCAAAATCCCCAGGTGATTCCTATGCAGAATACAGTTCTAGAAGCCCTGATTTAGAAAGCTGTGTTTTAGGCAAATTCCCAGGGCAGTGACGTGTAAAATAGATTAAAGGGAAATTGACTTCAAGGATAGAAACACCTTACAAGAACATTTAAAAAGTTGAGGCATTACTTCAAAATCTGAATCATGGTGCATGCAGGTAGCACAAATAAAAGGAAAAAAATATTGAAATCAGAAACATTCTAATGAAAAATATCAATGGGGTTTGGTGACAGACTAGATGAAGGGAGAATAAATGTGAGAATTTGAATATAAATCAAGTAGAAGCACCAAGTACTTCTAATATGATTAGCAGTGGTTCCAACCTTGGCCACACATTGCAGTCATTTGGGAGCTTTAACAAATGCTGATACCTGGGTCCCAATCTCTGAGATTCTGATTTAAGGTGAAACCTTGGCATCAGAATTTTTAAATGCTATACCTGATAGCTGGTAAAACATTATTTTCGCGTGTGTCTGTGAGGGTGTTCCCAGAAGAGATTAGCATTTGAATCAGTAGACTGAGTGAAAAAGATTCTCCTTCACCAATATAAGTGGGCATCATCCAATCCATTCAGGGCCCGGACAGAACAAAATGTCAGAGAAAGAGCATATTTTGCTTTCTCTTCAGAAGCAGACACATTCATCCTCTCCCTCTTCTGAGACAACAGAACTTCAAATACTCAGACCCTTGGACTCCAGGACTCACACCAGCAAACCTCCCAGTTTCTCAGGCCTTCAGCCTCAGACTGAATTATACCATAGGCTTTCTGGTTCTCCAGCTTGAAGATGGCAGACTGTGGGACCTCTTGGTCTCCATAATTACATGAGCTAAGTCCCATAAAAAAATCCCCTCATATATCTACATACATCCTGTTGATTCTGTTTCTGTGGAGAACTCCGATTAATACAATTGGTCATCTTTTAGACTTTTCCAGTTGGTTGTAATGCACAGTCAAGATTGAGAATACTAAATTGAAATATTCAGTTTAACTGATAATTTATTAACTCTTTTTTCCAAATAAGTGTAAAATGAAGAGGGAACTCAGTGCTAACAGAATCCAAATCTTCTAGATAGAGAAAATATAAACTGACATTTTCATTCACCCGTTAAAATTTCAAATTGAAATTTACATAATTAGAGTTAGCTATGATTTTTATTTTTTTCAAAACCTCAATTTGAATGAAATCAGTTAATGACCATTGTAGTTGGATGAGCATTTATGAATATTACTCATAAGCCTAAAACATAATATACAATAAATTGATTCTAATCACAACCATAATTACATATCTTAAGATAGAATAAGGCCTTCAGGAAGAGGGGAGATAGAATATGACATGCATAAAATTTATTTCCAAGTCAATGGACATAGTGATTATCAAAATTAGGTACTATAACTAAAACCTAACTAAAAAATATCAAGCAGAACATTTAAGAACTTTATAGATAATTTGTCACTAAAGCATTATTTCATATATATGCAAAGTAAATACAAAAGATTTTTCAAAAAGAAAATTATTTTCAATGACCTTTCATAAAATGGAAAATTGGCTTACCTCTTCCCTATGATTCTTAATTGGCATACAAAGAATGCTTTGTGTCTTGTAGCCCGTAATTTGGTCAACTTCTGCATTGAACCGAGGATCCTAGCATGGAAAAAGAAATTCAATTTAATGACTGACCTGTTCAAAGATCGATTCGATTTTTCTGATTTATTAGATTAGAGAAATGTAACCTTGGACTTACCTTGTTACTCTGAGTAACAATTTTATTGTTGTGAAAGGCATCATCATGTAAGTACATATCATATTTGTCAAAGATAAATCTAAGTCACTGAGTTTTTTTAAGCAGCTAGTGTTTATGAGAAAAAAACAGACTCAAACAAATGTTCAGAAATAAAGAAAATTTGAAATATTAACCACTTTAGAAAGCTGTACTTAAATTCAGGAAAAAGTAGCATCTCTCCACCTCTGTAATACAATCTCACAGCCTGATTCTATTGTGCCTCCAGAACAACCTTTTCACTAAATAACTTTACCTTCCCTTGTAAGGGCTCTTTCACAGTTTCTCAGTATTCTGTACTTCTATCTCAAGTATTCATAAGAATTTAAATTATACATATATATATATATATACAATCTGATTGAGTCAGATTGTAAACAATCCTTTAATCTTTTGAATTTCCCCTTTTACAGGGCACATTATACACATCTGACAATCATAAAGAGCTTCTGAGGTGTAAAATTTCTAAGTCTGAATTAAAGAACAAAGGTAAAGTTTACATTTCTATTAAACTTTAGATTGGGAAGATCTAAAATTATGCTGTAAACTCTATGAGGGTTTTTTTCTTTTTTTTGGTTCATTACTGTATTCCTAGCACAGGAACTCAATCAAAAGCATGTGTTAAATCAATGAAGAAATTCATTAACAAATAATATCACAGTTATCAAATGTGATCATTTTTACCTTACCATATAGTTTTAAGCATATCTTGTCAGTAAAGGGAAAACCAAAGTAGAGAAAATCAACAGCTACAACTACATGAGGTAAGAGTGGAATGGAAACAAGCATTCCAGGACATAAACATCTGAATGAGTGCTGTTCCCTTCAAAGCAATAGCCTTGGGGAGTTACACGCTAGACCTAATAATAGCATCACTGCTCCAAAAACTCCTCAGTTGGAATTCCCTTCAGAGAATATGGAATATCCACACTGGAAAAGCTCATCCTTTGATGAGCTTTGAAGGTCATTTCTTTTTAAAAAATAAAAATAAATTAGTCACAGTCAAGCCGTGAATGAAGTAAGTGATTTACACTAGATTCCATCAATTGGGGTCAGAAATGAGGCCAATTTTCTCCTGAGAGGGCCAAACTTAGCTTACAGGTAATTTCAAAAGAAAAGTTATAAAATGGTGAAAAATCAGCATAAATATTTGTGAGAGATGGGAAAGTTCTTCTTCAAAGTTATATCTGAGACTACATTATAAGGAGTTACAATCTATGGCCATTATCCACTATTAGCAAAAACATATACCAATGTATATATATTCTCTAAACTAGCTACTTCTTAAATCAGCTATCTTGACTCACTCTGCCATATCTGAACAGGACTGGGCAAGCTCCAAACCCTGGGGCATGCCATACCTTATTTGAAAACCTTCCTGACCTTCTCCTGACTAGCTTCCTCTTTTTCCTTATCTTCCTCCTCATCTTCTTTCCCCTTATCTATTCAGGAAATTTCCAAGTTTTTTTTCACCAATCAGGTCAAGCATAGAATGTGAGGTCTCATTCCAGCCAATGGTAACTGGACACAGTAGTAAGGCGATTGCATCAGGTTATGAAAGTTATAAATATCCCTGTCTCCTTGTTTGGGTGTGCTCTCATGGCAAGACTGCAGGGGAGTTGCACCCTTTCTGCAAGAAGTAAACTAGCCTTGCTGAGTTATCCACTGTGTTGGTGTGGATTTTTCCCAATGTTATAAGCCCATTTCAAACAATATTTTATATTATGAACACTATGACATTTTTGTAACATTTTCAAAGTTAGATGAATTGAGTTGCAGAGAAAACCTTAGCTGCATCTTCCTAATAAAATTTTTATCTCCAGCTATTGTCTAAAGAAAACAGACAAGATAATGATATTGATGAATTAAAGTGAAAATTTATTGATATATAGTGAATTATTTAAAAAACAGTAAGTAAAATATGAATAAAAATACATGCTCAGTGTTACTTTGTTAATAAATATTTGAATTATTAGACAATTTATAAAGAAGAGGACATAACCCAACTACTTAATCAAAGCAGTGAAGTCTGATGGAGGAAAATTAGTAGGACTTTTACATCTTTTTTTGTGTCTACTGTTAGTTTGAAATCAACGGCAGTTGTGGATTTCACTCTCCGGTGAAGTGGGTAGGAATAAATATATCCTTCAAATTTCATTTGAAGTGAATTTCCAAACTCCTGACATCTCAAAGAGTTTTCCTTTAATAATGTATTCAGTGCAAAGACAATATACATAAAGGAGTTCTAACCCCACTAGGTCCAGTAAACACTAAAGAAAAAAATGGAAAACTACAATCATGTGATTATTCCTTTCACCATTTGTTTATGAGAACATGACAGTATGAAAGAACTCAAAACTTGGATGTCCACTTGCCATAACAAAGTATTGGGTAGGAGTATTCCTTCCTGCTGAAGACAACTATAAGACTTGATCTGCCATGAGCAGATCAAAGAGAAAGACTTGTATGTCATTGCCATTGAACAATCTGGCTTCTGCCTGAGGGCATTTTCCTGCTTTAGAGAAGGCAGGTGCTACTCAAAGAGAGCAACACTTTCAAACAGAACTGAATGGAGCTCCAAACTTCTGAAGTGGTTGGAATTTGTAAAGCACAGGGGCTGTGCTGGGGGGTTGGAAGGAAGTTGATAAGGAAGTGGTGGCAAGGAGACTGAGTTTCTAGTCACTTTGGGCGTGTATAAGGCAAAAAACCTAAAGAACTAGCAAAAATTACCAAAGGCTAAAAACTGAATGTGATACCAATTAGTGAAGTGTTTAGAGACAACAGAGTTCCAGCCCAGCCAGAGTAGAGAATTTATTCAGCAGCTCAGGCACTGAAACAGGGAAAGACCAATCCTTAGGAATAAGTACTATACCATATAGTTGGGGGTAGTTCTTAAGACTAAATTCAAAACTAGAATAAATCCACTCTATCAAATAACAAGACCAAGCCTGATAGGATCAAAAGAATCTGCCAGTAATTTTACTGCCTGTCAGAACAAATCTCATCCTTTTTTTAAAGAAAGAGGATATAATCCAAATACAGTGAAACAGTCAATAAGCAGCAGAAAATACAAAATCACCACATATGTAAAGAAATAGGAAAATGCAACCCATAGTGAAGAGAAAAAGTAATCAATAAAAAATGACCCCAAGATGATTTGCATGTTGGACTTCACAGATAAGGACTTTAAAGCAGCTACTAAATATTAATATAGGAATTTAAAGAAAAATATAGTGACAACTTCTTTGCAGAGATGGGAATCTCTGCAAATAACTATTAAAATAGTCAAACGAAAATTCTAGAACTGAAAAGTACAGTGTGTAAAACACCAAGTTCATTAATACATTTAACTGCCCACTGGAAACAGCTGAAGAGTCAGTGACCCTGAAGATAGATCAACAGAAAGTATCCATTCAGAAGGATTGAAAGGAAAAAAAAAAAAACCCTAAAACATTAACAAAGTCTCAGTGTCTTTTAGGATACTATCAAGTGTGTATACACACACACACACACACACACACACATATATTTGGAGTCCCAAAGATAATGGAATTGAAAAATACTTAAAGATTTAAATAGAAAAATTTCCCAAATTGAAGAAAGCCTTAAACTTTCACACATGGTGTGAAAATGATATGTCGGATGAAACATGTAAGTTGAAAATGATAAAAAGGATGGCTGACCTCTCCTGAGAAAAATAAAGACAAGAAAAAAGTGAGAAAACACTTTTTTAAAGTATTGAAAGAAAACTACTATCAACCGATAGTAGTTTATCTATCCAGTTAAAATATCCTTCAAGAATATAAGGCTGGGCGCGGTGGCTCACGCCTGTAATTCCAGCACTTTGGGAGGTCGAGGCGGGTGGATCACATGGTCAAGATATCGAGACCATCCTGGTCAACATGGTGAAACCCTGTCTCTACTAAAAATACAAAAAATTAGCTGGGCATGGTGGCGCGTGCCTGTAATCCCAGCTACTCAGGAGGCTGAGGCAGGAGAATTGCCTGAACCCAGGAGGCGGAGGTTGCGGTGAGCCGAGATCACGCCATTGCACTCCAGCCTGGGTAACAAGAGCGAAACTCCGTCTCAAAAAAAAAAAAAAAAAAAAAGAATATAGGCAAAATGAAGGCATTTTCAGATAAACTAAAGCTGAAAGTATTTTTCAGCACTGTATATACTATAAGAAGTGCTAAGGGAAATTCTGTAGTCTGAAGAGAAAGATTCTAAAATCTATGAAGAGCTAGAAATTTGGCTTGAGTATATGAATACATATATATATTTATATATGGAATAAGGAAGCCTAGTCCTTCATTTTTGGAGAAGGAACACCCAACAGAGAAAACAAGAAAAATAATGCATCTTTAGTTGTTGGATGAAAATGTAAGTATCAGTATGAATTATTTGTTTTTAACATAATAAGTAGATAGATGTAGAAATAAATAAAATATAAACATATATGTATATTTATATGTTATTTTCCTACCTCTGTCTGCTACTATACCAGCAGCAATGGTCACATCTATTGTCTTGATCTTGGTTTCTTAGTAACATTCACCCCACTAAAAGAAACCAGGGCTCCTTGGGAAAAAAGAATGATTCTAGGTCTAGGGCAGGGAAAGTGTAAGATAGGTCTCAAACATTCTGATTAGCCAGAAAGTGAAAAAATGTCCCAAAAGTAATGAGGACATAACAAAAAGACACAGCAGTCAGTAAATTTGTTACGGTTTGAACATCAGCATAAAGATAATAAGAGATCATAATTCACTAAATAAAATATTAATCCATGAATCCATAATAATGTGAATGAATGAATGAATGAGAAGGCAAAACTCTCCCTTATATTAGAATTTCAGCTAACAAATAT